GTAGTAATGGTAATAGCAGTAGTAATGGTAATAGCAGTAGTAATGGTAATAGCAGTAGTAATGGTAGTAGCAGTAGTAATAGTAGCAGCTGGAGTAATGGTAGTAGCAGTTGTAATGGTAATAGCAGTAGTAATGGCAGTAGCCATGTGTGCGTTACACGCTTTCTGTTTATTAGACCATTTGCGATATCATCTAATAAGACTAAAGTCATTGTTGTCAAAAGTATTTTCTGCATCACTATGAGCAGTTTTTAGTAGCTGGAGTAATAGTAGTAGCTGGAGTAATAGTATTAGCAGTAGTAATAGTAGTAACAGTAGTGGTAATAATCGTTCTGATAGTTTCTGTAACTGTACAGCATTAGTACCTGGATCTCCATGCCCTGCTCCAACAGTCTCTTGGCTTGGTTCTCCACCTCCAGCCTCGCTCTGCTGATCAGCAGTAGGTTGTTCTCTATAACCTCAATGCCACTCATGTCCACACCTTGAGACAGGTAATCTGAAATAGAAAAAAAAGACTGCATTTAACCTGTGGAAAACACAAACAAGAGCTAACGAGGTGCTCAAATGCTAGAACAGCAGGATATCTCCCCCCCCCCCCCCAACTCTCAAAGCTGGATGTCAGTCTAAACTTCATCAACACATCATATTTGTAGTTCAATTAAATTTCATCCTGCTGACAGAAGAGATGACAGCAGGACTTGTGCGCTTGACAGATTTGTCAACAACACTTATTTCAAAGAAGCACAGAGCACTTGTGACAGCATGCTTAACATTTCCACTGCTTTCTGCACTCTTTGTCCTCCCACAATCTGGAAAAAATGATTATGTTTAGAGGAAAGAACAAAATGAGATGAGCGACTGAACGAAACGGGCTGATATCAAATTGATATAACTTTAATACATTTAAGGCTAAGCATTCCTCAAATATGAATTGTTCATTGAACCAGGCCACCTCGCCATAATGTTATTTTGTTGTTTTTGAGCATCACATATAATTTGCACATTGACTGAATGAAAATGCTTCCTGTCAACATAAATATATTCATCCTATGATGGTGCTTTTATAGCAATGTGTGTGCAATCGATAGCTCCGATTACAAGTTATGTTTATTTCAAGTTGTGTTTATTTGTCATATGCAGGCTAACATAAGGTTAACAGCACAATGAAATATTCAGGATGAGAAGAACCGATTTGACTCGCTACAACAAAGAACAAACAAACAAACAAGAAATGCTAAAGCATGCAACAAGGGTACAAAAATAAAGCACCAAAAAGTGAAAAAGTAATTAAGATATTTAATTCAAATTCAATTTAAATTCAAAAATACTTTATTAATCCCTGAGGGAAATTAAGTGTTGTCGTAGCTTATCATCCTGGTTTCATTCAAGAGTTGTTATAGATGCTGATAGCTGTGGGAAGGAAGGATCTCCTGCAGTGAAGGTTGATGGGAATTTATCCATGGCACCTCCTTTTCAACTCATGTGGGATTTGGGGCTGTAGATGAGATATTTGAGCTTTTGAGATGTTAAGCAGCTGCTCCTTGTTGTTAAAAAACACATTGTTGCCATGGTTACACATCATAACAAATGTCCAAAAGTAAAAAGGTTTCAATAAAAATCCTTCCAGCCGCACAGCATCCAATACCAGAGTAAATCATCATCATAAAAAAGTGATATACAGTGGGGAGAACAAGTATTTGATACACTGTTGATTTTTCAGGTTTTCCCACTTGCAAAGCTTGTAGATGACTGTAATTTTTATCATAGGTACTCTTCAACTGTGAGTGATGGAATCTAAAACAAAAATCCAGAAAAATACAATGTATGATTTTTAAATAATTAATTTCCATTTT